CTCTGAGGGTGACGGAGCAGTGGAACAGGCTGCCCAGGGAGGTTGTGGAGTCTCCTTCTCTGGAGATATTCAAGACCCGCCTGGACAAGGTCCTGTGCAGCCTGCTGTAGGTGACCCTGCTTTGGCAGGAGGGTTGGACTAGATGACCCACAGAGGTCCCTTCCAACCCCTACCATTCTGTGATTCTGTGAAGGGCCGCATGGGCCCCTGAAAGCACTATGCTGGAGTACCACCATGCAGGCAGAACATTTGGAGGGGCGTATTGCCGAGAAGGTTATACAGATGATTTCTTAGGACCTTCCTGACTATCCAAAAGTGGGTGGGTTAAAATTTGGGCAGCAAAATAGACTTCTCTGGCACCAAGGAAGCCCACATCAAATTTCAGATTCTGTGTCCTACTGCTACTTAAGTTTCTTTAGAAAATGTTTGAATGCTATTTTTTAATAGCAGAAGCTCAGCTTCATTCTTTTAAATGGCTAGAAGTTCCTGTTTTGATTCTTTGTGCCAGAAAAAAGTTCAACCTGATGTAGATATGCCCTGCTGTTGTCTTTCACTTTCTCTCCTCCCTGATATGTACCTCATATCTGTTGCACCCATTTTATTTCTTTTTTGCCTCCCCCACTGTTTTCCCAAATGTCAGTAATCCAGGCAAGTCCTATTAGTATTAACCACTGCCTTCACAGAACAGATGGAAATAGCTTGGGAATATAAGTGCTGCAGTATCTATTCAGGACGTTTTGCCCACAGACCATTTTTACAGCCGAACAGTGGACAATGTATCTGCCTTTCTGAGTTTGTCTCTGATGAGATGCTCTGGAAACTGAGGATATCATTTTATGGGTTTTGCATAATAAAACAAGAAAAACATTCTTTCGGAAATATGTATAATAGTTTTCCCCATAGGACACTTGTATTACAGAGATAGCACATTTGTGTTTGACAAGTCCCACATTTAAGCTCTGGTGTTACTGTATTCTATGTAGCTTACAATATTGTGGTATGAATGAGTAGGAAGGATTGGTAGGGGTGGACTCTACCTGTATGAAGGAAGAAAATGAGATCCATTTCTACGTTAATGTCTTTGCCAGACCATCTTTTTGTGCTGTGTCGCATAAGCAGCATGATCTTAGGCACAAGGGAATGAATCACATCTTTACATCAACTTAATATCCCGTCACTTAACACAAGTATTATAAGCCTCAAAAATATGTTGAAGGGGTTTTATAAAAGCATATAAAGATTTTTAAAATGCCGTAAAACTTAAATTCAGACCAACAGAAACAGTGACCTGTAAAGTTCAGGCTTCTGTTTCATTCTTACTGTGCAAAGGAATGGGGACTGAAGTAGTTGGAAGTAGGAGACTGAAACAGCAGTGCTGTCACTTGTACAGTATGGTAGGTCATTTGGTCACTGAGCCTGTAGGGACATGAAGAAAGGCCACCTCTTCCAGATGAGCGTGTCTAGATGTTAATTAAGGTTGTAATAGGATTTTTTGATACAGCGGTTTTGAGGACTGAGTTCTACTGTTCGAAGGAGTAACTATGACAGAAAATTAAAAAAGAGAAGAGGTAGTAAAGTGGGATTTGGACAGATGATTTCCCTCCATCATTGTGCCTAAAGGAGACGTAAGTGAAAGGACATAGTGCCATTCCTCATCTTTCTGGTAACTGCAAGATTTGTCCAGTTACTTGAATCATTTTAAGTCTTGGTTGCCTCAATTTTGGCAAGGTTTGCTGTGATGGTGTTTTCGGGTTTTTTCCCTTACCCCTTTGGAACATGAGAGGGGGAAATACTCTGCATAAAACCACTGCCACTTCATTCGTGTCTCTGTCTTTCTGGTATTACTCTATTCTTCACTTTACTCCATGTCTCCATTTAGTCCTTTGATGTCTATGCATCTCATTTTCCTCAGTCTGTAAAACTTCATCAGAATTTACTTCCAAAACTGGCTATAATTAGAACAACATCCAACAGCACAGACTACTGTAGCCGTAATAGATTCATTCAACATTTTGATGTTTTGTTAGAAAGCAGTACCCTGGGGATTTAAAAACAAAACCCCAAACCCCTATGTGTAAAACTGGTTTAGAGACTTTTTTACTAGTTAGACCAAAGTTTGCAGCAAACCATATTATCAGTATACAGTTGGGCATCTAATTACAAGTCCAGGTCAACTGGGCTCTTTTTGGAGTTTTTCCAAATGGCATGCATTTCTACAGTGCTTTATGTAATTTCCAAACGTATACCTGGAAACAAAGACTTCCTTGAAAGGTGTTCAAAAATGCATATAATATGAGAAGAATGAGAAAGTCATTTCTAGGTCTGTCAAATATTCATAAAAAGTTGAGGATCAGCGATTTTTTTTTCTGAATCCTGAGGTTTGTTTATACATTTATACCGTCTTGTCCAGTGATACCCAAGCATGTGCTGAATGAGCGATTTTAGACAGCGAACACAACACAGTTGTGTCAGTTTAGGACTCAGGCTCAGGTAAGTGGTCCTGTTGAGCATCATAGCAAGCTAGTCG